AGGTGGGTGGATTGCTTGAGCCCAGGAATTTGAGGCTGCAATGAGCTATGATCATGCCATTGCACTCTAGCCTAGGCAACAGAGTGAAACGCCCCCCAAAAAATTGGTTTATTTATTTTATTTATTTTCCTTCCTTCCTTCCTTTCTTTCTTCTTCTTCTTCTTCTTTTTTTTTTTTTTTGAGACAGGGTTTCACACTGTTGCCCAGGCTGGAGTGCAGTGGCATTATCATAGTTCACACTGCAACCTCAAACTCCTGGGCTCAAGCAATCCTCCTGCCTCAGCCTCCCAAGTAGCTGGGGCTACAGGCATGTGCCTGGCTAATTTTTCTATTTTTTGTTGAGACAGGGTCTCACTATGTTGTTCAGGCTGGTCTCCAACTGCCTTGGCCTCCCAAAGTGCTAGGATTGTAGACATGAGCCACCTCACCTGGCCTCATTGTCTATTTTAAAAACAAATATGAGGGAAGAACAAAGCTGGAAACATCCCACTTCCCGATTTCAAAATATATTACAAAGCTATAGTAATCAAAACAGTATGGTACTGGCATAAAAACAGACACATAGACCAATGGAACAAAATAGAGACCCCAGAAATAAACACACACATACAGTCAACTGATCTTCGACCAGGGTGCCAAGAATACACAATGGAGAAAAGGCAGTCTCTTCAAGAAATAGTGTTGAGAAAACTGGACATCCATGTGCAAAATAACAATTTTGGACCTTTATCTTACACCATACACAAAAATCAACCCAAAATGGATTAAAAACTTAAATATAAGACTTGAAAGTAGAAAACTCCTGAAAGAAAAAATAGAGGAAAAGCTTTATGACATTGAGCTTAGCAATGATTTCATGGCTATGACACCAAAAGCACAGGCAACAAAAACAAAAATAAGCAAGTGGAACTACATTAAACTGAAAGGCTTCTGCCCAAAGGAAACAACACAATAAAAAAGCAACCTATAGGGGGAATGGGAAAACAAAATTTATAAACCATATATCTGATAAGGGGTTAATCTCTAAAACATAAAAGAACGCCTACAACTCAATAGCAAAAAGAAAAAAAAGATAACCAGATTAAAAATATGGGCAAAGAACTTGAATAGACATTTCTCCAAAGAAGACATTCTTCCAAAGAAGAATGGCCAACATGTGTATGCAAAGATGCTCAACATCTCTAATCATCAGGGAAATGCAAATCAAAACCACAATGAGGTATCACCTCATGTCTGTCAGGATGGCTATTATTAAAAAGACAAAAGACAACAAGCATTGGCAAGGATGTGGAGAAATTGAACCCTTGCACATTGTTGGTGGGAATACAAAATGGTGCAGCCACTATGGAAAACGGTATGGGGGTTCCCCCAAAAAACTAAAAATAGAACTACCATATGACCCAGCAATCCTATTTGTGGACATTTATCCAAAAGAATTGAAATCAAGACCTCCAAGAGATATTAGCACTCCCATGGCCATTGCATAATTCACAATAACCAAGATGTGGAAACAACCTACATGTCCATCAGCGGTTGAATGGGAAAAGAATACATACAATGGAATACTATTCAGCCTTGAAGAAAGGAATTCCGCAATATGCAACAACATGGAGGAACCTTGAGGACATTATGCCAAGTGAAATAAGCCAGTCACAGAAAGAAAAACACTGCATGATTCCACTTATATATCTATTAATAAAATATCAAAGTCATAGAATTCAAGAGTGAAAGTGTGGTTGCTAGGGCCGGAGAGAGGGAGAAACGACATGGCACCTAAAGTCAACAGTAACGTATTATACACTTAAAATTGTGTGAAGAGGGTAGATCTCATGCTAAGCATTCTTACAATAAAACGTTTTAAAGAAAAATATTCAAGGGAGTTATTGTTTAATGGGTACAGTCTCAGCTTGGGATGATTTGGGATGATAAACAGTTCTGGAGATGGATGGAGGTGATGGTTGCACAGCAACGTGAATGTACTTAATGCCACTGAACTGTATACCTAAAATTGATTAAAATGGTAAATTTTGTCATCTGCATTTTACAATTTTTTTAAAAGTGAAAACCCACAGTAAGTTGTGAAGCACATAACCATGCTGAGGCTCCATCTGTGGCAATGCCATGATAACAACTGTGTCAGAGGGGAGGCCAGGAGGCAGAGGAAAGGGGGAGAGGGGAGGGCTGGAGCTGGAACCCTGGGAAAGGACGTGGAGAGGGAAGGGTGGGGAGCCTCAGGAAGAGGCCCAGAGTAGACAAGAGCCAGAAAGGGGAGGGTTGCCGGGAGAAAGAAGGGAAACTCTAGGCAGAGAGGAGAGGCCCAGCTGGGCATGTCTTCTCAGGAACCGTGCTCCAGCACCCCAGAGTACAGTCAGCATGTACTTCTCCCCTCACGGGCTTTAGGCACCGTTGCAGGGCAAGGCAAACAAGGGTAAGCAAACAAGGTCTGGGCCCTTTTTTATTTTAATTTTTTGTAGAGACGGGGTCTTGCTATGTTACCCAGGCTGGTCTTTAACTCCTGGCTTCAAGCAAATCCTCTGGTCTTGGCCTCCCAAAGTGCTGGGATTACAGGTGTGAGCTACCACTTATCTTGATTTTAATAGGCTCACTGGCTGTTTGACTAGCCGGGAAGCAGGGAGGCCAGTTAGGGTGATTTGCTACTGCAACCTAGAATACTTACTAGGATGGTAGCAGTGGAGAGGGTAAGAAGTGTTTGAATCCTGCATTTATTTTGCAGGTAGAGCCACAGCTTTGGGATTAGTTTGGCCTCCTCGCTTTCTTATGGAAAACAACACTGGTCACTGGCAGGGGCTTCTTTCATTCACATGGGGTGTGGCTTAGAGTGGGCCTGGGCCTCTGAGGGTATCCTGGTATAGGGAACAGATCAAGAGAAACTCAAATTAAGGCCCAGACTGGGTGCAGTGGCTCACACCTGTAATCTCAGCACTCTGGGAGGCTGAGGCTGGAGGGATGATAGCTTGAGGTCAGGAGTTCAAGACCAGCCTGAGCAACATAGGAAGACCCCATCTCTACAAAAAATTAAAATAATTAGCCAGGTGTGGTGGCGCATACCTATAGTCCCAGCTACTCAGGAGGCTGAAGCAGGAGGATGGCTTGAGCCCAGGAGTTCGAGATTACAGTGAGCTACCATTGTGACACTGCAATCCAGCCTGGGCAACAGAGCGAGACTCCGTCTCTTAAAAAAAAAAAAATCAAAATTAGACCGTGTCACTCTGCTCAAAACGCCCTCCCAACAACTCACATTCCACTCCCTCCAACCCTATATGTAGTGAAGAATTCATCCCACCCAGAAGTCTGGTCTTTACCATCATATTCTCAGCTACTGGAAACTGACCTCTAGGCCCCTGGAATGACCTGTCTGACAGGGGTGTCAGTCAAACAATGTGGGGGGCTTTTGTTTTTAAAGAAGGTATTAGGCCAAAACTCTGGCAAGGGCTGGAGATTAAAGGTCAGCCGCACCGGTAGTATGTGATTAAGCCTTAAGGAAAATTCTGCAGTAGCTTTCCACCTGGTTACACATTCATCACAGACAGGAGGAAGTACGGTGTCTAGGACAGAAAACTTCTTCTCTGGACCCCTACCAGATTCCACCCTAGGAAGCTCACCTTTGGCTGGCTCTGTGTATCTTTTTGCTTTAATAAAACTGTCATCGTGGCCGGGCGCAGTGGCTCACGCCTGTAATCCTAGCACTCTGGGAGGCCGAGGCGGGCGGATTGTTTGAGCTCAGGAGTTTGAGACCAGCCTGAGCAAGAGTGAGACCCCGTCTCTACTAAAAAAAAAAATAGAAAGAAATTATCTGGACAACTAAAAATATATAGAAAAAATTAGCTGGGTGTGGTGGCGTGCGCCTGTAGTCCCAGCTACTCGGGAGGCTGAGGCAGAAGGATCACTTGAGCCCAGGAGTTTGAGGTTGCTGTGAGCTAGGCTAACGCCACAGCACTCACTCTAGCCAGGGCAACAGAGTCAGACTTTGTCTCAAAAAAAAAGAAAAAAACCTGTCATCCTAGTGTTTTCCCAAGTTCTGTGAATCGCTCTAGCATATTACCCACCCGAGGGTGGTCGTGGGCAACTCCTGAACTAGCAGCTGGTGTTGGAAGTAAGGGCAGACTTGTGGGGACCGTGCCCTCTAACTGTGCACTTCGCCAAACTCTTCGCACCCTGCGACCACCTTATCATGACCTGCCCACTCCTTGCCGACCAGGCCAGACCTCACCTCATCTCACTCATCTCCTCTGGCTGCCTCCTCGCTCACACCAGCCAGGCTGCCACCCTTGGCACAGGAAAGCTCCTTCCCCACAGTCCTGCCAGGTAAACTCCCTCACTTATTTTAGACCTTTATTCACAGCTCACCTCCTTGGTAAGGCCTCCTCCAGCCCCCGCCTCGAACCCCCACAACCTTGCCTGCTTTGCTTTTTCCTTTCAACACTATCACCACATCCACCACACTGTAAATGTTATTTGTCTTATTTCTTCTTCTCCATCTCCCCATGAGGCAGGAATTTTGTACTTTGTTCCCCGCTGTAACCACAAGACCTTGAACAGTTCCTGGCATGAGCTGAGTGTTCAAGAAGTTCTCCCTGAGTGACCTCTAGTATCCTTCAGAAGTACCTCTCTTAAAAACCAGACCATCCCATCTTTTTCTCCCTGAAAGGCTAAGTCTCCAAAACAGGGAAACTGACCACACTTGGCTGGAGACCTTTTCTGAGGGGATAAGGTAAGAGTCAGCAAGACCTAAGACCTCTAGGAGAGCTGCCTGGCCCTGCCTGAGTGAGGACATGCAGATGTGTCCTAACCCTAACACCTCCTTGCTGTTGACTTTGAAAGACCCCTTCTTCTCTGGGCCTTGGTCCCTAGATGAATACGAAGGAGTTGGAGCTGACATAGAATTCTCTGGCCAAGATCGCTGTGGGGCAGGTCTAGGAGGGGAGGGGAGGGGAGAAATTCCTGTGGTGACAGAGGGGCAGAAGGAAGACATGACCTCACCAGGCAGGGGTGGCTTTTATTTGAAGGCAGAAAACACCCTATTTGGGGTTCATCTGTAATCTGCAACAGTTAAAAAAATATAGGAAGAAAAAAACCAGAACCCAAAGGGCCTGGGATGGGGAGGGGAGGGCAAGGGTAGTGGGTCCCGGTCAGGCCACGTAGGGGAAGTGGAGCAGCAGCCCTTCGTGAGGCTCCAGGTTCAGGTGTTCCAGCTCAAGGGAGGCGCCCTCCTCACGGCCTGGCCGGGTGCTGAGCAGGAGGTTAGCCCTGGCTGGCAGGCCGGCGCTGGCAGGCAGGTTGGAGGGCCCCAGCTTTACTGAGAGGTTCACACCCCCAAAGTTGAGCACCACCAGGAAACGTTCATTCTGGTCCCAGTGGCGGATGTAGGAAAAGAGTCCAGGCCCAGAGGACAGGGCATGGAAGTCCCCATGCAGCAGGGAGCGCTCCTTACTCCGCTGGTCACTCAGCCGCCGGAACAGGGAAAGTAGGGAGCCAGGGTCTTCATTCTGGCCCTGAGAATGATGAAGACATAGCAGGAGGGGGTGAGGGAGTCTGCAGGAGTGTGGACTTCTACAGGCCCTGCCCGCCCTCTGGTCAGGGTCCACCACATCAAACCCTTACCTTCACAGTCACATTGGCGCTTATGGACTCTGGCATGTTCGGGAGGCTGGACTCATCCCACAGCATGACTGGGGCCTCCACAGGCTGAAAAGCAGAGAAAATAGGACTTGAAAAAGGCCTGGGTCAGTCGTGGTTGCACGCACCTGTAGTCCCAGCTACTCAGGAAGCTGAGGCGGGAGGATCCCTTGAGGCCAGAAGTTTAAGGCTGCAGTGAGCTATGACTGCACCACTGCACTCCAGCCTGGGTGACAGAGCAAAACCCTATCTCTTGGAAAAAAAAAAAAAAGAAAGAAAAGGCCTGGACCTACTCTCTCTTATCCCTCCTTCCATTCTCATCCTCACTGCTGCATAACCTCCACCCATGCTGGGCTAACTTCTATTGGATAAGCAGGGTGGGCTCCCTGACAGGGTCCCCTCAGCAGGGAGAGCTCCCAGATAGGCCGACTCCCTCACTTCCCTCAGGTCTCGGCATGGTTATCTCATCAGGTTTCCCGTGGCCACGCTATAAAATATACCCCATCCCTGTTCTCTAGGCTACACCCTGCCTTCTTTTGCATAGCATTTTTCAGCGCTTGGCATTTTATTATATTTGCACGTTATTTACTTATCTAACCACCTCCAGCACTTTTGTGCACTGCTATATTCTCGGTGTCTAACACATAGGAGTAACTCAATAAAATTCTGTGGAATAAATGAATGACGAGTTCTACAAACCTCTGTCAGGAATAAACCCTAACCCTATAGCTAGAGCTAGCCCATGCCTTCCTGCTAGTAGCCCTCTCACAGCACTCACTGCCATGGGCGGTCCTTATCCATCTGGCTCCTTCACTGAACTATGAGCTCCTGGAGGGCAGAGATCGAGCACAGAGCACTCACTGTCCAAAGAATGAATGAAGGAAGGAAGGAATGGTGACCACAACAGTGAACATCCACCAGGTATGGTGATGTGCCTGCATTACCATTAAAACATGGCCTCATTTAATCCTAACCACCCTGTAAGACATGCAGTATCACAGAAGAGATGACCAAAATCAATGGGGTAAAATAATTTGCCCAGAGCCACAGCTACTGACCAGGTGACTGATTAGCATAGGAATCAAATGCAGTTTCACCTCAAGGCTCCTGTCCATCTGCCGCCATCCACAGAATCATAAGATGCACGAACATAACCTCCCCCACGGTGCCGGGCAGACAGCGAGCAGTACCTGTCCAGGAAGGGCAGCTGTCTGCAGGCCAATCTCATCCCCATAACTGAAAATGGGGGTCCCTGGCAGGGTGAAGAACAGCAGCTGGTAGAGTCGGAGGAGCTGAGCCGGCAAGAAGGAAGTCATGAGCCCCGCCTGGGACAACTGCAGGGACAGACACTCTGGTGAGCCCCATATCACACCTCCGCTTCCATCTCCCAACAACCCTTTCCTCCAAAAACCCCCTACGCCCACTCCCACCGGCGTGCTACTTACACTCCAGCTGCACCAGTGACTGCCAATGGTATCCAAATACTCGGTGACTAGGGCTTTTGTTCGCTCCCCAGTGAAATCGGACTTTGACAGGTATGAGTTAGTCAACAGCAGGTCTTTGGTGGATTCAAGTAGGCTCAAGATCTGCTGAAGGCTGGAGGAGTCAGTCCCTGCAATCAAGAGCCTGCACAGGGGAAAGCAGAGGCCAAGATTGATACAAGTAAGAATGGAAGTAAACAAAGTTCTCTGGACTAAGAACCCCTTCCCCCTCTTCTTAGGGGCCAGTTCTCCACTGAAGGGTTGCCACAGTGGAGCCGAGTCAGGAAGGTGGTGTCTGGCACCCACCTATCTTCGCCAAAGCTCTTGGTGATGTTCTGCCACTCAGACAAGAATGAGGATGCATTCTAGAAAGAAAAAAACAGAGTCAAGGAACAGGAAACATTACCAGGCCCGGCCTGAGTCTCTCTGTTCTCACCCAAGCTTTGCTTCTCACGTGTCAGGTAACTCACCGCCAGTTTCTCCACGTCCCGAACCTGGAACCCGTCCACACCAGCTTGCAGCCAAAACTCCAGAGCATTCTATATGGGGCAAAAGAATAGAGGAGAGATATCAATACTCAGAAAATTCTAGCCCATGCTAAACCTCACCCACCACATACTTCCCTATGACCTTGGGAGAGTCATTTATCTTTCCTGGGCCTTTCCCACCTGTATGACAAGTCTTGGCCTTTGGTCCCCTCCAGCACTAACCTCCCATGGGTTCTCTTATGCTACAGCACTTCACTTCTCCATTCCTGTCTCTGGTAAATCACACAGCTTCACCTTTGACAGCCACAGAAAAGGTCCAAGAGAAAAAGTGTGTCCATACACATAAGTTCACTTAACCCTTAGCATGTGGAAGGCTAGTATATTTATTTTAAAGATGAGGAAACAGGCTTAGACAAGCAAGGAGATGTGCCCAACGTCATAATCAGTGAGCAACAGAGACAGACCTAAAATGTCAGTCAAGATCCCAAGGCAAGTGTATTTACTTCTGGGGTGAGCTGGGGAAAGCAAGGCCAAAGGCGAAAGATTGAAATTCAAACCACAGCCCAGGACAGTTTAGAAGAAGATTTGAAAAGAGGCCAGCTCTGCAGAACAGGCCCAGGCCTGCAGCCTGGCAGTCACTAGGCACACAACACGGAGCCCACCCCCACTGCTCTTTCCTCCCCTTCTCTGTGCCACTGCTCTCTCCTCTAGTCTCCCATTTCCATCCGAAGTGACCACCCTCATGTCAAACTATCAGTAACTTTTAAAGGCTCTCCCAGCAATTGGCAAGGGCTAAACTGGATGGATCCCAGACATTCTATCCAAATGCTGGCAGTCCAGAATTCTCCCTCAGACCCCGACAGCAAAGTGTCAGGATCTGCCTCCATTTTTGTTCTACCCATTCTGAACTGATCAGTGTTCTAGAACCCAGCCATCAGGAGCTAGGGTGACATTCAAGGCCCATGCCCAGCCTGCTCAGTATACAGTTTGAGCCTGTACCTTCAGGGAAGGGAGATTAGAGAAGACTACTTCAAATCTTCGGCACTTGAAGCACCTATGAACCTTAGCTTCCTCATTTACAGATTAGGGACAACAATAGATACCTTGTGTGGTTATACAGAGAATTAGAAAACATCTATAAAATACTTGGCATAGTCCCAGATGCATAGGAAAACCCTAGTGCTTATAATTGCAGACTGGGCTCCACTCCAAACACATCAAACAAGAACTGGGAAACCGGTCAGGACAGGATTCCCACAGAGAAAGGGCTTCCTCTCCCAAAAGGAAGAAAAATCAAACCTCCAGAGTGACAGCTGAGAAAGTCCCTTCCTGGCACTGTCTCACCCTCAGAGTCAAGGAAACAAGAAAAATGAGTGGTCAGAAAAGGAACAAGAAAAATAGGGGTGCTCAGCTAGCATGTCCTTCAGCTATGGGAGGAGGCATTCCTATTTTTTTCTTTTTTCTTTTAATTTGTTTTCAGAGCCAAGGGAAGAGGCATTCCTGCTTGGCCCCAAGGAGCAAAGGGACCCTCAGCTGAAACCAGACTAACAGGGCTGAAAAGGGCCAACCCAGCCCCAGTAT